CAGTTTTAACCTTTAACTACCATTTATTTAATATAAGCTTTTAGCTACAGCTTATTTTCACTTTTTTTTTGGTTTCATTAACTCTAGCCTATATGTTCAGCTTGTTTAAACTTTAACAATTCAATTGCAAACTCTTCAACAAAGTTTACCAAAGTCATTTTTACAGAAAATGCTAGTTTTGGTAATTACAAATTATTTATATGAATATGCTCAAAAGAATGCAGAATTTTATGTAAATTTCATACAAGCAAAAAAAGTGATGAATGACTCAGTCAAATGTTCACACACACACACACACACACACACACAAAAAAAGCAAATCAAGCCAATGACGTGGCGTTCTGCGTTACTCCATAAGTTGACTCCATCTATGAAGATGCAGCGTTAGCTTTCCCAGAGCAGTAAAACTGTCTGGGAGCTCTTCTTGTGCGTTTAAATAACAGGAAGGGTGGCACCACAAACACAGGCCCGCTCAGCTTTGTCGAGCTAATGACTTCCTGCTCCAGTGGCTTGTGAAACAGTGTTAGAGCCAAAATAAGGAAAATCGAGAGCAGAATTTAATCTGTCACTCAGTGGAAAGCCTTTAAGCAGCAACACGCAGCCATCCGGAGGGTGAACGCAAGCGAGGTGAAATCACAGCGAAAAGCTCCCGAGCACAGAGCGAAGCACCAGAACAGGTTGTGTATAGGAATGTGGATTACAGATTGCTTGGATAAATAGGGTATTCTTTGAAGGAGAGGCAAAGTGTGTGTGTGAGTGAGCGTGCACGTGAATGTCAACCTGGGTGGTAATCTAAAACCATCAATCCCTTTGAATCTAGGTAAGCTTCACCTGTGGAGAAAAAGAGATTGATGCAGGGAAGAAGACTATGCTTGCACTCAGTTTTGATCTTCCTGAATTTGCCCTAAGCTCAGTTTTGAACCGTGTAGCTGCTCGGCAGCCATATTAACAAACCCAAATCTCACAAGGTGGAGAAAGAGGCGTTCAGTCTGCCTTTTCATCTGCACAGAATTAATCATTTCCGTGAGTTGCTTGTTTCCATCGGAGCCTCCAAGGAAAACTGGATGAGTGCGTTTAGGCACTTCTTTGGGTTTAGATGAGCTAAAATTATTCACATCAGGAACTTGTTCTGACAAAACTATCCTGTCCCCTTTCTGACCTCTAACTCACCCATTGCCTATGGATAAGTGGGATGTTTTTACCCATACACAAAATACCTCATGACAAATTTGATTGAGTTTCTTAGAAAGTAACCACTGAGTGGCCCACAGCCGAGACCTACAGGTAGGGATCTACAGCTGATTACCTTTTGGAGTCTGTCGTGGAAAAAACAAATTCCCAGAACAGACCAAGGTGTGGTTCATCAGATTTATTTACAAAGCTTTGGAGAGCAGTCCAACAATTCACAGAACATTACAAGATTACACTGTTATCAGTTCTCTCATCCATGTGAAACCCTGACCTGCTCCAACTCTCTGGACCGGACAAGTTAGTTTTATAGAATAACCTCCAGCCCAGGACTCAGCTCCTCCCCTCCATGTCCGAGGCGTCAGCAAAAGGTCCGCTTGCAGACAGGTAGGAGTGGATCTGAGTCAAGGATTCTGAGACATGTCACTATATCATATCAACTCTACCATATCAGTCAATATCAGTCAACCCTTGAGGATATCAAAAACAACCAGTTCTTTCTGTTCCTCACTGACTGGTCACAGTAAGAATGATTATATGGGACTCCAACAATTTTCAGTCAGGTCATCTAGACAGTTTTTTGTTTTTTTTCTGAAACGTTTCACCTTCCATCCAGAAGGCTTCATCAGGCCAGGAAACACACAACACAAAACTGATTCTTCCCCCAAACAGCTTACTCCAAAGTGGAACAAACCAGTTATGGTGGTGCTAAGATGGTGTCTTTGGCTCGCCCCCTCCTCTGGAGCCGGCCCTCTTCCTTGTCGACAGTCATGTCAAACTGGTTCAAAACCAAAACAGTCCATGCTCAATAATCCAGGTCTACAATCCAACAATTTTCAGCAAAAAAAAAAAAAAAAAAGAAACTGTCCAGATGACCTGACTGAAAATTGTTGGATTGTATACCTGGATTATTGAGCATGGACTGTTTTGATTATATGGGACTGTTTATTGTTCACAATCACAGTCAGTAACTAGAACAGAGTATAATGTCTAAATCTCCTCCTTTAAGTAGAACAGATGATGCATAATGAAAGTATGAAAATACACATTTGTTTCAACAGTCAACCCCATTCAAGATGTTTGCTAAATGATTACTACTCAGCCAATATTGCAATTAATGAACTGAAAACCAGTGAGGTAGTTGGGGAGAGACAATCCCAAGACAAACTCTGAGCATCACCTGATTATGTGAGATTTGTTTGAAAAATTCCCCATTATTTATTGTGGCCAACCACGCTCCAGAGAAAAACAAGACAAATTTTAAGGAAAATTGCAGGAAGTAAACACTGGGAGTAGATCTACAACGGATTAACATTTGGAGTCGATCAAGATGGCTGCCATAGCTAATCAACACTTGCCCACACTGACATGGTTATATCTGTGGTGAGGTAGTAGCTGATGGTCATCCTCAACACACATGCTGAGCGCCAACACGTCCCGAGACTTCACAATACTAAATGATTGTGCATGCAGTCTTTTATGAGGCTTGGCCAAAACAGCTATAGCTCCGTCATGACATGATTTTAGTCTAAATCTTTGACATGAAAGGTGTCGGGCGATATCCATTCCTTAAAGACATGACACACTTTTAGTTTTCTTTAGCAGATTTTCTGAAAATGACAAATTCAAAACAAATTGCATCCGAATCTTATCTCTGTAGAAAAGTAGTAAGACGCCATGTAGTCTGCAAACAACTGGATTTATTTGAACATCAAAAACCCTTCAAAATCTTCCTTATAACAAGTAGCAATCTGTTAAAAAAAATGAACACAAGTCTTTTAAATAAATACAATACGGAAAATAAACTTTTGCACCAGCATTTTGTGTAATGTCCTTAACTCCAGCTTAGATGCAAGAAAACTTTCAAGAACTCCTCTTATAATAAGTCTATTTGGTATCTGCAACATCAAAAGTTTTGTTTTTCCTGCATTAATATTCATGTCAGATTAAAAAAAAAAAAAACAGGAAAAAAACCAAAAAATGCTAATAAGCCTTTTCTGATATGTAAATGGAAAAAGGCAGAGTTTTCTTTGCACTTTGCACACGAGAAAACAAACACCCACAGGTTCGTGTTGAAGATGTGTGTCACAATGGTCTGATCCTGAAAGTTTCATTTTAATTAGTGATCTGTTTCTACCGCTGAGTATTAAACCAAAGCAGTGGATTGTATAAGGATTATTTCTGGCAGAGTTTCAACAGCTCCGAGCAAGATTAAGTCAAACATGGGTCAAAAATCACTAAACCTATAATAATAATAAATTGGATCTCAAGACCAATAACCCAACTGGTTGTTGTAAAAATTAAATTCTTCAATCTTGGACATTTTTACATTACTCTGCAAAGTGCAGCTACAGTAATAACCCCGTGCACTGCAGTTCTGGGCCATCAGGTGAAGGGGAGCTCCCTGGTAAAATTCATTGCCGTCTTTAATCCTTTAGGGTCCTGTGGGCTGCAGGGTCAGGTCCTTGCAGACCCAGGGTGACTCGACACTACTTCAAAATGGGCTTCAGGAAGATGACTGAGCTTGCAGGCTGGCCAGTTGTTGCTGAGGAGTGGAAGAAGGGGCGCACAGAGCTCCCAGATTGCCAATATAATTATTCTAAACCTAAAAAAAATTAAATTAAATAAACCACTTTACTCTGAGCATGTGATTTCCACATGGTGTTACAGTATTTGGCACTTAGAGATATATATAAATATTGCACTGAAAAGCATGCAAGGAGTTTTCTGCTGGACTCAAAAATAACAGAATTCTGAGCATGATTCTGCAAAGATACAACATTTAAAGGATCTGCAGTTAAAGCATCTTAAAAATACTCTAATAATACCTGCATGTTAGCGTCAGTGGGATCTAGCGAGCTGTAGGAAAAGCTCCTCTTTGACAAACAAATGTATTCTCTTTCAGCTTTCAGATTTTGAATATAAGCCTTTTATCAGTAAGGATGGAACATGAATATGATATACATTATACATTATGAGAGTGATTTTCTTACAGCTTTAACAAAGGGCTTATTAGCTAAAGCGTCTATGGTTACTATATATTATTTAGATCAAAATTTAAATTAATTTCCCAACAATTTAAGTGCAGAAAGGGTCACATTTATACATCTAACAGCTTTGTTTAAATAGTTTTTTTTTTGTTTTGTTTTTTTCAAAAATAATATTGTGCTTTCATGTCAGTGATCAGCATCACTTAGTCCATATCAGGACATCTTCGTTCAAAACACAAGCTTCATGTGAAACGTATCGTTAGGATATTTAATTGAAAACTGGGTTAATTTCTCCCTGTGTGCTCGTCCACATGAATGGAAAGGAGATAAGAGTAATCTGAATAGTTGGTCAAACCTTCTTGAAGAAGTCCAGCCGGAGCAGCTTATCTAAATCCTCTTGGCAGAGCGCCATAAGTTGAAGTGCTTAAATTTGCCTAAAAGACAAGAAGCTCTTGTGAAATAAAGCGGCAGCAAGAAGTTTAGCGTTTAGTTTTCTGATTCACTTTGTTGTGTCAACTGCAGCCCAATTCAGCCATGGGAGCAAAATCACGTCCAGCTCATAAAAGCTTACACCATAATAAGCGTGATGAAAGGTCCAGGCTATGTTATTTATTATTTGTTCTTCATGTGTCTCTTTTTTGTCCTTGCTGGTCGGGCAGTAGTAATACAGTAATGTGAAGGAGAAAAAAAAAAAAAAACAAGCAAGAAGCGTGTCCCTCTTGTGTGATTGGTGTCACTGAAAGAACAAGGCCGGCAGACTGAGGGCTACGACGAGCTCTCAATCAATGAGCCGTCGCTGTTGCTTTGCCTCAGGGACTGCCTGCTGGAGTCTCTGTCAGCTTCATCCTCTTCATCAGATCTGCCAAGACTCAGGTGTCTCCGGTACACAGGAGGGCTACAGGGGGTCAACACAAATATAGACACACCATTAAATCACCGCACGGCTACTTACTGAGGAGACAAAAAAGACATGCAATGATAAAAGAGCATTTAAGCTGCAAGATAATCTTCTTACTCCTCGATAAGATGCATCTACTGCCGTCAGTGAATACTACACCCTGCGTGCAACATGCTCTCAATAGGTGAGTCCGTGTCACAAATTAAAAGACAAAACAGCCACTTCCCATGCATGAGTATTATTGCTTTAGCAGAATATAAAAACACTTCAAAAGGTTTGTGCAGTTTGTAAGTAAACAGAATTAATTTGGCGTTGATGTGCTCAGTAACTTCCTGCAAGGTTGAAAAGATTACAGCACTTTGCGTCTTGCCTACAACACTCATTAGAGGTTGTTACTGGGGCCTTTTTCTACTATGTTGTCATGACAACTCATAACATAATAAACAGTCTTTGCATTACTTTAAAGGCAACTTAATTCACAGGGAAGATTTCAATTAGACCGTCCTTATAACACTTTGACGACAGAAAGCAAGAAACATTTAGCAACTGTCGGTGTGCTGTTTTAAAGTGATTTCCAGTTATTCCTATTATGAAACATCCTACACAGCAGTGGTGATAAAGTGGTGGCTTGTGGGCCACTTTCAGACAGTGCAGGGGTTTCTTTGGGCCCACAGTCATAGGGTGTGTAGTTGCAGGTCCACTTTGCAGCTGAGATTACTGGAGTGCCACTTTTATCCACCTCCCTGACCATCAAGATTTATCATCTTGTTTTTTGCAAACATTTCCCTCCACTATCTACACTAAATATGTAACAAAAATTCACACGAATGTCCTGCCAATAAGAACTGGGTTGTTAAAGTAGGGCTCAAGAATTCCAGATCGTGATTTATGAGACATTTGCAAATTAATTTTGCAGGAAAGTTAACAATAGTCTAAAAACTTCCATGTGTAGATTGCCTTCAGTCCCAGCCCTTCCTTAAAATAGATCTGATCTCAAAGGGATTTGCCTGGTTAAATAAAGGGGAATACAGTAGTCCCTTGCTACTTTGCAGTTTGTTTATCGTGAATTCACTCCATCGTGGTTTTTCAAAATAAGATTGGACATGACACACAATTGGCTGATTGACAGATGAGCCGCACAATCGGCATTAACTTTTTATTTAAAATAAATGTTAAATTATTTAGCACCTGTTGCACCTTTGTGCAGCCCAGAGCTGCAGAAAAAGATTCCCCCTACAGCTTTGTGCAGCCCTTACAGCTGCAAGATAAACTTCCTGCTGCAGCTGAACAGCTGATCAGCATGCAGAGCAAAGATGTGGGCGTGGCCAAGAGCATTTGCAGGAGACAAAGAGCAGAGGAGGCAGGGAGCTGTGATCTTTCAGAGCGTTTAGAGTTTAGAAACATTGTTTAGAATATTGCAAGAGTGTGGGAAGGTTTTAAAACGCCTTTATATATAAATACTAAAATAAACTACTACTTACTACTTGTACTACTATTCCTACTTCGCAGTTTTTCACTTATCGCGGGTCTTCAGGGTACGGATCCCCTGCGATAAACAAGGGACTACTGTATATTTAAATATGAATTTTTTTTTTTAATACTACATTTTAAAAGACTGAATTAAAAAGCTGTCGTGTATAATTTATTCCACTAAAAATACAATTCACAAATGAAGATCAGCTGATTTAGACCTGTTAATTTTATAATTATTATTTATTATTGGTGTAGTTTTTAAACTTGGAAGTTTGAGGCTGTAGTTTCAGATGTTTCCTGTCATTGTAGCGCACTTATGGAAATGGCAAAACACAGCTCAGTTGCTCTAATTGTGACAAACTAAACTGGGAAGTATTTGAGACACAGGTGACATCTCTAGATATTTTGAGAAAAAAATCTGTCACACAACTTATTTCAATATGTTTAAAAGTCACGTGACAAAGCTGCAAACGTTTGCGACTCACAAGGAAATGAAGAAATCCAAGGAACATTTTGAAATTTCAGACTTTCTCCCAAATGCTATTAAACAACTTGTCACCAACAGTTGAGGCTCAGGGAGCTTTTACAGTAATAAGCAATAAGCCAATGTCCCTCGTTGCTGAGGGGCAGAGTGATGGATCCTGGCGAGTGGAAGGAGCAAATTTAATTAATCTTCGGACACCCCAATCATTTCAGGAAACTATACTTTTAAGCAGTATAAAAACTAGAAAGCATAGTTTCCTCAAATGATAAAAGGTTGTCAGTTTACATATGGAGATGCCATCTTGGGTTTTGACGTGGCAACCCAATTTTCTAAAGGAAGATTTCTTTATGCCTAGATGCAGCCACACACCAAAATGAAAGTCCATAGCTCACTTATTTTTCAAGTTATCTTACTCACAACAAGCATGGACAAATGGACAGATGGCGAGTATTTCCAATCCCCCTCTCTTGGCTTTGTGATGGGAAATTAAAAAAAATGATCTCAGAATGATTTAAGTTGGTGACTCCTGCTTTATAGTTTCTAATCAAGACCTTTAATATTTTACCCACCACCATCTGAAGAATGATAAAAATGTGCATTTATATGCTAATGCTATATAAATGAACATTATGAGAATATTTCAAAATATTCCTCTGGAACAGCAAAGTTCATGCTCAATAATCCAGGTAATAAATCCAACAAAGTTAAGTCAGGTCCTCTGGATGTTTTTATTTTTTTTTTACGTTTCATCCTTCATCCAGAAGACTTAATCAGTCTGAGAAGCCACAACAAACACTGCTTGTGCGACTGAGTTTGCTGTGGCTCCTCAGATTGATGAAGTCCTTTGGATGAAAGATTTTTTTTTTTAACGTTTCATCCTTCATCCAGAAGACTTAATCAGTCTGAGAAGCCACAACAAACACTGCTTGTGCGACTGAGTTTGTTGTGGCTCCTCAGATTGATGAAGTCCTTTGGATGAAGGATGAAACATTAAAAAAACAAAAACAAACAAACAACCAGATGACCTGACTTAACTTTGTTGGATTTATTAACTGGATTATTGAGCATGAACGTTTTGAACCATTTTGGCCGTTGCTGCTTCAGACGAGTTGACGGGGTAGAGGGCGGACTCCAGAAACCATCTTATCACCATCGAACTGGTTGGTCCACTAGGTGAGTGTGTCGCTTGTGGGACTAAGTTTGTTGTGGCTACTTGGACTGAAGAAGTCCTTTGTATGAAGGATGAAACATTTCAACAAAATTAAAAAAAAAATTAAAAAAAAGAAAGAAACCCTCCAGAGGACCTGACTTAACTTTGTTGGATATTCCTCTGGACACAGTGTTTTTTTCAATGTTTAGTGGGTGGAATAAACAAAAAAAAGCAAGTTTACATGGAAACGCTGTATTCCATGCACATGGTTGCCAGGTAAGAAATTATGAACTATTGCACTGTTGCTTAAAATTTACTGTATTTTGACCCAAACTGTTGTATGTGCAGAGTGGGGGTGTTGTAAGATAAGGTGTATGTTGTGTTTGGTAAACGTGCTAAAAAATATGGTGTACAAAAACATTCATATTTATGTGGCAACCCTGATGCCAGGTTCTGCATGCAGTGTCTGTATGGTCACAGTTACATCCCACCCAAAAAAAGGTTTAAAGATGACAAGCTTTTTTCCACATTCAAGGACAGCTGAGTCAATGTCCTGCAATTTTAACGTCACAGAAGCACATAAAACTCTCAAACTGTCAGGGAGAAAAATCCTCTTAAAATAGACAGCTTTTGAAGCTCTGAGCTAATTTTGGCACTTTAATTATGATGCAAAGTTTTCACATCAAATACTTTCTACAGGCATATAGCACCTCGAGTGAAAAGAAAAATTGGTGTAATTTTGTGTGCCTCATTGCCAGTCTGTGTTTGTGCTAGAGGAGAAGTCACAGCCAGACACTTTCTCTTAACACTTAAGTACTTAGAACGGCACCAAACAACATTAGAGAGAAACGTTCGCATTTGCAGGGATGTCTTTTATCATCACAAAACAGGAATAGAAGCAGCAGTTATTTACGGCAGCATTTAGAAATAAAACTAAAGTGTCTAAAATGTCATTTATGATGTATTAGGATTACAACTTGGGTCATTTTCTTTTTAAATGAAGACAATTTTGATAAAAGTTGACAATAATAAGGCTGGGTGAAAACCTGCAATACTGTATAGTCGGACGACATATGGTAATAGTTTGAAAGAGTGGGCAGTTTGCACAATTTCACATTATAAACAGAGTATCTCTGTAGCAAAGCCACAGCAAGAATTTTTGCAGATATGATGGCGTGAAAAAGAAAATAATGCCTAGAAACAGCACTGTTCATGTCCTGTTTGTTAGGGTGGCAGAATCCATCTTAATACAAATGCAAAAATCTTGTGCTTTAAGAAGACGCAAGCAGAGCGTAACTGCAGAAAAATGTGTCTGCATTTACTTGTACTTTAGTTCACTTTGTGTAAACAGTAGCATCTCAGTTTGATGTTCTGTTAGTTTCTGTATTTTAATTTTCCACTACAGGTTGTGGATGAACATCCCAGTAGAACTGCAATTCCTTAAAACTCAGACCAGTCTATCTGGAACCAACAACCACACCATGTATAAAGTAATCTTTCTTCTTTACTATGATGCATTGTTTGAACTTAAGTTGTTTTCACCACATCATGATGTCCAAATGCACTGAGTTTCTGCTATGTGATTGGATTTTTAGCTATTTACGTTAATGAGCAATTGAACAGGTAAACCTTTAAAAGTAGATAGTGAAGAGTACTACCCGAAAAATTAAATGAACGTTCACAAACAGATATTGTTTTAAAATCACCATACATTTTAAGAAAACCTGACTCACAATCAATATGTTTACATGGACATAAGTAATCGGACTAAACAGCCATTCGGAATAAAAATGTGTCATGTAAATGCCCCATTCAGATTATTCTTGATTCAGCTCAATCCAAATGAATTTTTAATCAGAATGAGACAGGTGGTTTACGCTGATTCATAAT